TTCGAGACCAGCCTGGGAAACTTGGTGAGACCTTGTCTCTACAATAAATCACAAAAACTAGCTGGGCATGGTGGCATGTGTCTGTAGTTCCAGCTACTTGAGAGACTGAGGTGGATCGCCTAAGCCCAACAGGTCAAGGCTGTGGAAGCCATGAGTGCCACTGCACACCAGCCTGGGTGGCAAAAGTGAGACTCCAACTCAAAAAAAATAAAAATAAAAAAAGCAGCCATGTTTGGTGGCTTAGCCTGTAATCCCGCGCCTTGGGAGGCTGAGGTGATTGCCTGAGCCCGCAGGTTCGAGACCCACCTGGGCAACTTGGTGAGACCTCAGCTCTACAATAAATCAAAAAATTAGCCCGGCGTGATAGCGCGTGCCTGTAGTTCCAGGTACTTGGAAGGCTGAGGAGGAAGGATCACCGGAGCCCAGCAGGTCGAGGCTGCGGTGGCCGGGAATGGCCACTGCACTCCAGTCTGGGCGACAGAGTGAGACTCCAACTCAAAAAAAAAGAAAGAAAGAAGAAAAATCAGGTGGTTTCATATTAAAATGGGGCTTCCAGGTGGTTTCACATTAAAATGGGGCTTCCTTGAACAGGAACTCTGAGCTGAGGTTGAATGACAGCTGCTCCCTCTGCCAAGGCTCGGTCTCACAGGCCGCCTCAGTCCCCACCACTCCCTGTTGTCTCATGCCAGGATCTTTATGCACTTGGGTTTTCTACCTGGCCCTAGAAGCACTGAGTTTTCAATCAATACTATATGGCTTCCTGTCAGACTGTTCCTGTGCCTCTTCCCTTGGACCCTGTGTCCTGAATTCCTCAGAAGTACATACAGATGCCCAGGGGTGGCAAGGAGGCTTCAAGAGCCTGACCTTCCACAAGAAATAGGACTTCCTGATGGCCTCTCATCTCTGTGGTCAGTTCTTGAAGATGGGAAAACCCCACCTGCTTAGTTTCTAGCCCCCATACCCTGATCCCCTGCCCTGGGTACACACAGGTCCCCATCTATCCCGAGACTCAAGAGCAGCTTCTGCAAGACCCCTCCCCGGTGTGTCCAACCTGTCCTCATATGGTTTCAAGGCGCCAGCCTCACTAGACCCTGGTTATCAGCAGCATCCATGAGGAGAAGAAGGAGCTAGGGAGTGGAGCGTAGGTCCAAGGATCCTAACTGCCCAGCCTGAGTGACAGGGACAGATCCCAGGGACCTGCACTGCTTTGGACTGGGGCATGACAGGATGTCTGGGTTGGTGGAAAGGGTCTGGAAGTGGGAGAGATTGGCTGGAGGGAAGGCCAGAGGGGGAGCCTTGGCAAACAGCCATGCTGATTGTGGGGAGAACTGGCAGGGATGTATCGAGAGACCAAGGCCCCTTCGCGGCCCTGATGGTACCACGGTTGTCCTCCATCTTCTGGGACCTGGGCTGAGTAGTGAGGACAGATATGGGCTCTAGACCTTCTATGACTGGGTCTGGGACAGCTTCCTGGACCCGGGTCAGGGTCAGAGCCCTTCCCCTGGAGCCACGGCAGTGGGAGAGGTGCCAGGCCAGGGCTCGTGTACCACATTCTGGACCCAGACCCAGCTTGACTGTCTTTGCCAGGCCTGGGGTCAGGCCCGTGCCAGCTGTTGGCCAACCTTTGGGGCTCATTGCCATGACCCTGTTTCCCAGCCCTTGCCACGGCAGGCAGGATGCTCCTGCCTGGCAGAGCTGTCCACATGACTCTGCCTGGGGCAAGGAAGACTGGCCTGACCTGCTGGAAGAGTCAGCCCTGCCCTCCCTGACTTCCTGCCCCTTCACCCCAGCACCTGAGTCAGAGGGCCGGCCAGCTGGCACAATGGGTGGCAACAAGGGAGGCCAGGTCTGGCCTCTTTAGGAGGCTAGCTTAGAGCACGGGTAAGCCGTCAGTGTTAGCCTGCAGGCCTGTTCCCCAGTTTTTGCCAGGGCGGCAGAGGTCCCCACCCTGCCCACTTGCTCTCAGCCTCTGGCCTGAGACCCGTTTCCCCCATTCCCTCTCATCTCAGCCTGGCCCCACGGAGTAGTCAGCACCAATCTGGTCCTCTTCCTTTTTGCTTGAAATGTGCCATCAGCTCTTTGTTGCTCCTCAGAGCTCCCCCTCCCCTGGCACACCAGGCCCCTTTCCCTCTGGCCTCTGCCCTCCCCATCCTAAGCCTCGCAGCCCAGGTTCCAGGTGCATTGTCCTCCTCATCCTTCAAACAGGCTCTGTGCCCACCTGCCACAGGACCTTTGTATATGCTGCCTTCTCTGGAACTGTGTCCCTGTGACTTGTTTGATTTCTCCATAACCTTGGAATCATAGAGTACACTTCCTCCCCCACAGCCACGGACAAGCCCCTCTGCCCCCTGCTGCATGTCCTCAGAGAACCTTTCCTTCACATGTTTGTCTGTAGGATTGTGTCTGCCTTTTGTACCAGGCTGTGAGCAACTTGAGAACAGAGGTGGGTTCTGTTGCACTCACCTCTGGCCATATCTGCAGGTCGAGCTAAGGACCAAGCACAGACCGGCTCATCAAAGGAATGAATGTGAATGAATGAATAAATGAGTGAGAGCCTTGCTAGAGCTACTGAAGGAGACCTGCTTCCAACCTCACTGGAGCCATTGTCAGTACGGAGGGCACCCTAGGTCACCCCCACCTTTGTCCCCTGCCTGCCCTCTCTTTGCAGCAGGCAGTGGTCAGGCCATGTTGACAGGCAGCACTGAGACCAGCTCACCCTGCTGGGCCTGCGGTAATTAGGGGCCTGTGTTACTTGCAGGTGACCAGCCCAGGGTACTCCAGGAAATTGTGGTGACACCCAGGGCCCCACCCAGCTTCCCACCCCACTCTGTGGCTGCGGCAGGAGGGAAGGGGATGTGGGAGGAAGGCTGGGGGGCAACTGGCCGGGAGGGGGTGGGTAGGTGGGGGAGAAGGGGGCTGGGCCCTTGTTGTCTGGGTGAGGGAGAGAGGCTCTCTGACCACAGCAGGGACTGGGTTCTGAGGGCAAACGTCAGTGTCGAGGTGGAGCGTCCAGGCCTGCGAGTCCCAGGGACAAGAAACCAAAACCAGGAGCAGGAAACAGAAGACAGCATCTGTCAGAGTTCTAGCTCCCCACTCCGCTCAGAAGACCCTGGAGCTGGAAGGCAGCTCTCACAGGGCTGGGGAAGTGTAAATCCCTGGGCAGTGACAGAGAGCTGGCCAAGGCTGAGCTGGCCACAGAGTGGCAGCGGCCCTGAAGGCTCCTAGCTGCCACCCACTCCTGCCATGACCACCACCTCGGGAACAGAGAGAGAGGACAGGAGAGTCCTGCCCACCAGCTCGGCCTGGGCTGCAGCCCTGGGGAGGGCAGGGAAGCCCAGCAGCCAGAGGAGCCCTTCTCCTGGGCATCTGGCTCAGGCACAGGGACTTCAAGTCGGTGCAGAGGAGGATTCTGGGTCTCCAAGATACCGTTGATGCCCAAGGAGCATGGGGTGACCAAGTAGATGGCCCCCAAACTTTAGTGCAGATCTGGGCAGCCAGGCTACCTACACTGTGTACCCTAGTCATCCAAATACAGCACTGAATGGGGATGGGAGACTCCCCAGTTCTGGTGTTGCCTCCCCCACCTTTCCCAGCAGTGCTGGCCAGATGTTTAGGCTGGCTGGGGCAGGGTAGGGGACAGAATGCGTATGGGGTCTTCTCAGAAGAGCCTGGGGTGGAGATCAGGCCTGTGTCCAGGCCTAGTACAAGTCCTGGAGTGACACATTTGCAGAGACGGAGACCCAGAGGAGGAGCATCTGGGGTGTGGGCATGTGCTTGGCAAATTGGCAGCTTGGGGAGAAGGGAGGGTCCTGGAGACCAGGCTGCACATGCTCCAGGGGCTGAGTGGCCCCTGGTCACTGGGCCACCCGTTCAGAGCTTCTATTTGTGGTCATGAAGCTCACAGCCCTCCCGAGGCCCCTCACTCACCTTCCCGCCCTCTGTCCCCTAGGTCTCTGATGCCCCTGCTGGACCCGGACTCCGGGCTGCTGGTCCTGGCAGGAAAGGTGAGTAAGGAGCTGGGGCCCTCACCTGTGTCCACCACCCAGAGTTCCACCCCAGGACTGGTACCCTCACTTGCTGACTCCATGAGAGAGAAAAAATTAGGACAGCCCAGGCCCCACCACCACCAGGCAAGCAGCCTCCTGCCAGGGCCTCTAGAATGTAGGCTTTCTGAGAGCAAGGCTGAGAGTAAAACAGTGTCAGCACACAGTCGGCACTCCATAAGTACTGGTGTATGCCCTTTGGAGTTCACCTCATGCATGGGATGCTGAGGAGTGAGGTAAAGTCTGCTCAGGGCTCAGCTTAGCACCCAGCATCCATAGCTACCCCCTAGACGTCCGCCATGTTTCTGTGACTCAGGTTCTGCAGGAGGCAGGGGGCAGCTGGTGCTACCCAGGCCACCAGGGTGCAGCCATCAAGGCTCAGGTTGGACTTGTTTCAGGGCGAAAGTCAGCTATACTGCTATGAGGTGGTCCTGCAGCAACCTGCACTGAGCCCAGGTAAGCCCTGCCTCCTCCTCCACCTCCCTCTCCCCTCTGCTCCCCCTCCCGTCCTGCCTGTTCCCATGGTGTCCTCAACAGTGACCCAGTGTGTCCTGGAGAACGTGCTGCAGGGGGCAGCCCTTGTGCCCCGGCGGGCGCTGGCTGTCATGGGCTGCGAGGTGGTCCGAGTCCTGCAGCTGAGCAACACAGCCATCATACCCATCAGCTACCATGTGCCCCGCAAGGTGAGGGCCACCTGGGTGAGGTGCCGGGGTCTGGGGACTCGGGCCTGGGCTTCATTGGCCACCTGCATATCTGCCACCAGGCTGTGGAGTTCCACGAGGACCTGTTCCCGGACACCCCCGGCTGTGTGCCTGCCTCTGACCCCAACACCTGGTGGGCTGGTAGCAACCAGCAGGTAGGGCTGAGGCTTGGCTGGTCTTTTCTTACCTCCACCGCATCAGGAGCCCCCTGACTGGCAGCCGCACCTGCCCTGTGGCCCTTCCATCCCCACCCACTTGACCCCTCCCGGTAGATCTCTCCTGACCTGGTGGCTGTGCCCCGACTGCCTCAACTGCCAGCCTCCCACAGGTGCAGAAGGTCAGCCTCAACCCTGCCCGTCGGCCCCACCCCAGCTTCACATCCTGCCTGCTGCCCCCTATGGAGTGCCCCCCTGACACCACCCAGCCTGCAGAGTCGCCCACTGGTGAAGCAGACCCAAACGTGAGTGCCAGGGCCACCCTCATCTCCTCCTGGTAGCAGTGCCGCCGTGGGTGCCCCGACTGTTCACCTGTCCAATGACCTTTTTCCCCTTTCCTGATTGTCAAGTGTAACAGAGACAGAGAAACACACGAGGCGTATATAAAGAGCTTAACAATGTTTTCTAAATTGGGCAAACATGTAAAAAGCCAGATTTTCACATACAAATCTAGGTTTTTGGTTCCTCTGAAAACAACGGGAGATCTAACTGGCTGGGCACACCCTCCTGCAAGGCTGGGTCCTGGCAGCTGCCACCTGGTATCCCTGTGGTCTGGGGCTCAGCCATGTCCCTGCCTGGGTTACCCCAACCCATCAGTGTAACTGCATTTATGCCCAGCCCCCATTCCACACTCACGCCCAGCCCAGCATGGAGGCGCAGCGGTGACCCTGGAGTCGACTCGGCGTCCCCTCTCTTGGGCCAGCTGACCTGCTGCCTCTCCCCAGGAGGGCTTCTCCTCTCCTCCCAGCTCGCTGACCTCGCCTTCCACACCCTCCAGCCTGGGCCCCTCACTGTCCAGCACCAGCGGCATTGGGACCAGCCCCAGTCTGAGATCTCTGCAGAGCTTGCTGGGTAAGAGGGCAGGACAAGGAGCTCACCCACTAGCATGGGAGCCTGTCTGCCCCTCCACCAGTCGTTCTCTCCAGGGGGCCTCATGCCGGGCACCCATCCTCTTGCTTGCCCAGGCTGGTATCTCCTGGTGGGGTCGTTGGTCCTGGGGACTGGAGCATGGCTGTGAGTCTCACCATAGAACAGGAGGGCGGCCGGGGCCACTGATTTCCATTCAATACTCCCTGAGTCCTGGGGTTCCACCGAGATTCTGTGGGGCCACCAAGGAGTGAGGATCTTGTTCCAGGCATTATTTCAGGCGAGCTGTGTTCACCCTATGGGCAGAGGCCTGGGTCCAGGCCCATGCTGCACACCTGCCCACGGTGAGGGGAGTGGGCGGCCAGGACTCAGCTACAGGGTGAAGAGGCACGGAGTCCTCAAGTGTGGCTCCACATCCCTGCCACCCACCAGGCCCAAGTTCCAAGTTTCGCCATGCTCAGGGCACTGTCCTGCACCGAGACAGCCACATCACCAACCTCAAGGGACTCAACCTCACCACGCCTGGTGAGAGTGACGGCTTCTGTGCCAACCAGCTGCGTGTGGCTGTGCCCCTGCTCAGCAGTGGAGGGCAGGTGGCCGTGCTCGAGGTGAGGGGCCCCACCCACCAAGGCTGCCCCCAAGTCCCTGCAGGTGGAAGGATGTGGAAGGCGAACCGTGTGTCAGGTCCCTGCCCATGTCCTGTAATCCCCCTGGCTGCCCCATGCTGGGGTGCCACTCTTATCCCCATTTTCCAGACAAGAGTGAAAAGGCACAGAGAGGTTTAGTGACCTGTCTGGGTCATACAACTGTGTAAGTGGTGGAACTGGGATTTGAACCCCGACCACCTGAGTCCCCAGCCTCAGCTTTTCCCATTGCCGAAGCTGCCACCCCTCACTTTCTGGGACCTCGTGGTTGGCATCTGAGGCTCAGAGCACAAGGTAGTGAGAGCAGAGAGTTTGGGTTCCCCAGCATTGGGACATCTGCTGCAGAGGGGTGGGGGCCCAAAACCTCTGGGGACTGGCTCTCCTGCCTGACACTGATGGGGAGGGGTGGGGGCATCTCCCACAGCTTCGGAAGCCTGGCCGCCTGCCTGACACAGCGCTGCCCACACTACAGAATGGAACGGCTGTGACAGATCTGGCCTGGGACCCTTTTGACCCCCACCGCCTTGCTGTGGGTAAGAAGGCTGGGCAGCCAGGTCTGCAGGTGCTCCCAGTCCTGAGTGAGGGCTGGGGAGCCCAGGGACCTTGGGTCCAGCAGTGATGAGCTGTCGTTCTCTGCAGCCGGCGAGGATGCCAGGATTCGACTGTGGCGGGTACCCCCAGGGGGCCTGGAGGAGGTGCTCACTACGCCTGAGGCTGTGCTCACAGGTCAGGTGGGCTGGAATGGGGGTGGGGGTGGGCATTGGCTCCTGAGGGCTCACTGCCACTCTGCCTGTCCCCCAGGCCACATGGAGAAGATCTATTCCCTGTGCTTCCACCCCCTGGCGGCTGATGTGCTGGCCTCCTCTTCCTATGACCTCACCATTCGCATCTGGGACCTTCAGGCCAGAGCTGAGCGACTAAGGCTGCAGGGCCACCAGGACCAGGTAGGATGGCTGTGGGGGCAGGAGCCTAGCCATGGCACAAGAGACTGTTTCTCATGTGCTCTCCTGTCCGCAGATCTTTGGCCTGGCCTGGAGTCCCGATGGGCAGCAGCTAGCCACTGTTTGCAAGGATGGACACGTGCGGGTCTACCAGCCCCGGAGTGACCCTGAGCCCCTGCAGGTGAACAAACATGGGCTGAGGGGGCCTCAGAGTCTCTTGAGGGACCTAGGCTGGGCTTCATGTGATGTATCTCAACAGGAAGGCCCAGGGCCTGAGGGTGGCCGTGGAGCCCGCATTGTCTGGGTTTGTGATGGCCGCTGTCTGCTGGTGTCTGGCTTTGACAGGTGAGGTCACCATCCCTAGATTACAGCCACCTGTGTCCCCCTTCCCTGAATTCACACACACTTGTCAGGCTTACAGAAACTGTCCATGCTTCTCATTATTGGATGGGTGAAGGGGTGGGGGGGTGGGAAGGTGAATGATGGATGGATGGACGGACAGACGGATGG